CCAGCAGCAGGGTCTGAAAGAGCCACCGTGGAACAAAGCCCAGGCTGCAGAGAAGTCGGGCTTTGGAAAGACCCCAGCCCAGGCTTGTTCCCGGGGGTTCCTGGGGATTTGGAGCTCGGCAACCCGAGCTGGAGGTGGAGCTGGGCCTCCTGCCCGGCTCCTGGAGTGAGGGAGCTGGGTGCACACACGTGCCCAGGCCTGCACGTGTGCCGGGACAGGGACGGGCCTGGAGTACTTCTTGGGCCCTACCCACTCCTCCACCCCCCATCCCCATCTCCTCCAGAGCCCCCCCAGGAAAAGCCCGGCTGGACGAGGTCATGGCTGCTGCAGCCCTCACAAGCCTGTCCACCAGCCCCCTCCTGCTGGGGGCCCCGGCTGTAGCCTTCAGCACAGGTGAGACTTAGAGGCCTGGCTTGGGGTGGGGGGTGCCGGCAGGGCTCAGGACCACTGTCCCTCCAGGACCCTACAAGCTGCTGTGGGGCAAGCAGAGCCGCTCACCTGGAATGCCATCTTCTAAGTGCATCCATCTTCTGAGGCCTAAAGCGACATCAGGACCCCCACGGCCCCTCCCTGCGGCCAAAGCTGCAGTGCCCCAGGCCTGCAGGCCTCCGTGACCTGTCCATCTCCACCTGGCTGGCCAGGCAGCTCCCCACCCCGTGCTCTTCTGGTCTTCCTTCTCTGTGCTGGAGAGGCTCGTCCCCGGGCTGCCGTGGTCAGCTCCTCCTGGCCACTACCTCCTCCAAGAGGTTCTTTGCCCTCCAGGCTCACCTGTGGACAGGTGAACAGGCGGAGGTTTTGCACTCAGGGACTCGTAGCCAGCAGCGTCTGCAGCACACCCATGGCCCCCAAAGTCCTGATGCCGGCACCGGTGTGTGTGTCCGCAGAGCCCAGCTTGGAGCCTCGGAGGGAGGCCCCGGTGCGGCCACCGGGCAGCAGCGGCAGCAGCGGGGATGGGGGCTGGGGCCCGGCCAGTAACCAGTCCTCTCCATCTACCCCGTCGCCCCCGCTGCCACCTGAGGCAGCCCACTTCCTGTTCGGGGAGCCTGCCCTGAGGAAGAGGAAGGTGAGCCAGGGCAGCCCTTGGAGCGGGGTGGACGTGGGGGGCGCCGAGGCTGACCGCCCCCTGTCACCCAGAGCTCGCTGCAGGGGCTGTTCCAGTGTCTGTGGAAGCGCTGCGGGAAGGTGCTGAGCTCGGCGTCAGGGATGCAGAGACACATCCGTCTGGTGCACCTGGGGTGCGGCGGGACCGGGGGTGGGGGAGGGGCGGGGGGCGCCAGGCAGGCCCCTGCGTCAGCTCGCACCCCACCCCCCGCCCCCCAGCAGGCGGCAGGCAGAGCCAGAGCAGAGCGACGGCGAGGAGGACTTCTACTACACGGAGCTGGATGTCGGCGTGGACTCGCTGACCGATGGGCTGTCTGGCCTGACCCCGGGGTCCCCCACGGCCTCCGCGCCGCCCGCCTTCCCCCGCCTGGAGCCGCTGGAGCCCCCGGCCCTGCCCAGCCTGCTGCGCCCGCCCGCCCTGCCCCCACCCCCGGTGCTGAGCTCCCTGCCCGCCCCCCAGGTGTGCGCCAGTGGCCCCGCTTGCCAGCTGGGTGAGGCCTCGGGTGGCTCTGGAGGGGCGCGAGGCCACAGCGGTGTCTCCTCTCAGGGCTGCCTGGCACCCGTCCACCCGGAGCCACAGCCCATCCCGGTCAGGGCCTGCGCGCCCGCCCTGCCCGCTAAGCCCGGTGCCAACCCGAGGTGCGTGTGTGTGTGAAGGGGCCGGGGAAGGCACCGGGCAGGAGGCTCCCGGCCCGACAGCACCCCATGCCCCCCATGTGTCCCCCAGGAAGCCCCGAGGTGACGCCAGGAAGTGCCGGAAGGTGTATGGCGTGGAGCACCGGGACCTGTGGTGCACGGCCTGCCGCTGGAAGAAGGCCTGCCAGCGCTTCCTGGACTGAGCCCCGCCCGCCGGGGCCTCTCCTAGCTGCAGGGTCTTCTTTCTAACCCGGGGGAGGGGGGGGGGCCCGGGCCCCACCACTCAAAGTGCCTCTGAAGAAACCAGCCTCTTGGCCTTTTGCACTAAAGCCAAACCTCACAGCTGTCCCCTTGGCCTGGGGTCCCCAGGGGTGGCCGCCCCCCACCTGTCGGCCCTGGACTTGTCAGGGGTGTGACGGGCCCCGCTTTGGGGCCACATGGGGCCGTCCTCGATGCACTTTGAGGGGTGTCGGGGAGGGGGCGCCCCGCCCGCACTTAATCTGACTGTTTGAGGGCCCGGGTGCATATTTGTACCGTGTTTGCCAAGCTCAGGTGTCTCACGTCTGGGCTGAACCAGGCGAGGAGTAACATTAAAGATTCGGGATTTTTCCAAAAGCTGTGTCTGCCTCCTGGGGGGAGGGACACGGAGCCGGGACCCCGCCATGGGCAGGGATGGCGGTGGGCAGACAGGAGGCCAGCAACCAGGCCACAGAGGGCTGGGGGTGGGGGTTACTCTCTGGCCCCCTCTGCCCAGGGTGAGGCCGGAGGAGGAGATGCTGTCTGAAACACACACGAGGCATCTGCTCAAGCAGCAATTTCCCAGTTTATTGAAAGTGATCGCTTTGCAAGAAAGTCTAACTAATCCCGTCACAGAAAGGAGACCCACAGGCGGGCCCGGAGTGCGCCCGGCAGACAAGAAATCTCAAGACCACTAGGGAGGAGGTGCTGTTGGCCGTTGACGGCTCCGGGGAAGCAGGCGATGGCCGTGATGTCCCACTGACCAGTTACAAAAGACTCCCCCAAATATGAAACACATCTCCAATACAAACACAGGTTTATAATAATTCATATAAAGTCGATATAATATAGATTATCCCCAGAAAAAAATCAACAATCTTCAAACACTGCCCTTTTTCTGTTTTGTTTGTGTTGACAGGTTGAAAGCATGTTGAAAAAATAAATATTTAAGAAAAGCACACACACAGCGCCCTCACTACAAGTAGTTCTAAAAAGGGCCACATACAAAACACAATATAGGATCTAAAAAATAAAAACACCATTAAGTATGGCTTTCTTAAGAGTTGCACATGTCACAGAATGAGCGAAAATAAGATTATCTTTCATATAATATTGCAAAAAGTTCCAGTTTTTGCATTTTTTCAGAGTTCTCTTTTTTAAAAAGGAAGATGTGCAAAGTTGGAAGCAGTAGCTGTGTCCTTTCAGTTGAGGTCCCTACCCAGTCCTGGCAGTGCTGTGACTGTTCCCAAACCCAGAGTTCAAGCATACAACCCGGTCAGGATCCAGAGCTTGATACAAAATCTTGGTTCCCCGCCCCTCCCCCACCCCCAAAGACCTTGCCGCCTGATGGACCGCGTCCCACATCGGCGTTGCAGACACCAAACACAGACGCACACAGACGGAAAGGTACAAAATGTGAGATGTGATCTACACGCTTTTCCGCTTCATAAAAAAATATTTATTAGTTTAAACATTGATTTGGGAAAAAAAAAAGATCACGTTAAAAAAGAAACCTTCGTTACACGTCTTTCCCTCCACGCCTCTGGAGGCGATGTGTTCGCCTGCATCTCTGAAATCCAGCTCTCGAGTTAACCGCACACGAGAATAGTGAACACACGGGGCTCGGGGGCGGGAGGTGGGACCCTCGGTTTTCCAGGGTATTGTTTTGAGGAAGAAAATGCCCTTGTGGCACTGAGGGCCCCGTTAAAAGTCAGCCAGGACGGTCCAGAGCGGGAGTGAGCAGGTCCTGAGTGTGGCGCAAAGGTGGCCCGGGGCGCGGGCGGCGGGCTGAGAGGTGGCCCCGTACAAAACCCAGAGGACGCTTGGCAGCAAAGGTCTGGTTTCCAAACGCATTTGATAAGAAAGTAAGTCTGTTTATAAAAGGGGTTAGAAAGTGGGGGAAAGGTACACAGTGGGGAGCCCCACTGAGGGGCTCAGCTGGGCCCCACTGTGAAAGGCAGACCGGGGCACCGGCCCCGGAGGCACCCCAACCTGCCCTGGGCTCCTGCCCCCGGCCCGGCCCGGCCCTTCCCTAAGTATGCCGGCGTTGAGGAGTTCGCAGCGTCCCCAGCTGAGGATGGGAGGGCAGCCCTCTTCTGACTGAGAGAAAGGTGGCTATGTTTAAAACAAGGCAAAACAGAAAATGAAGCTGCGACTCCTCCCCGGGCAGGGCTTCAAGGACAGCACCCGTCCGTGTCCACGCAGCCAGCCACTTACTAAGGAGGGTTCTGTGGGATTTGCCTTTCTCCACCTAGAAAGAGTAGATGGGACCCGGGAGAAATGCAGTAAAGCCACTCGGCTTGCAGGCTGTGGGGAGAGAGGAAATCAAGCCAGTGTCTCCTTCGGCTCCAGCTCAGCACCTGAGGGGCCCTGGCACGGTGTCCCGCAGCGGCTCCCAAGCGAGGCGGGTGGAGGGGATGGAATGGACGTGTCATGAGCCTGAAAGGGAGACGGGCCGGGGTTGGGCCCACAGTGTCCTCACAGCACACGGCGGGACCCCGGCTTCTCAGAAAAAAGATAGAGAAGGGGTCGTAAGCGTGTTTAAAAGACGGCGAGGGGGCTTGGGAAGAAACCAAAGGAAAGACACGTCTGCGAGTGTGGTCGAGCGGGAAAGATAACGCCAAACAGAACCATGTCACGTGCCAGCCTCAGTTTCCTTAGCTACTCACGGAACTGGGGCCCGAGCACCTGGGGAGGGGCGGCCCCCGCAGGCGGCGTGAGCAGCAACGAAGGCAAGCCGCCCGGAGCGGTCAGCAGGAGTGGCCTGGGTGCGGCAGGACGGGAGGGGCGGAGGGGCGAGCCGGCCCAGAGAAGTGCACACAAAGAAAGAGGAGGCCCCTACGGTGGGAGCACCTGGGCCCCTGCCCAGCTGCCTCGGGGGGGTAGCACCTGGGCCCCCTGCCCAGCTGCCTCGGGGGGGGGGGTAGCACCTGGGCACCCGGGCCGAGGTCGGCTGCTGCTGTGTGTTGAGCACCAAAGCCCAGAGGCGGGGGGGCCGCGGGGCTTTCTGGACGCCAGACCTGGATCTCGCAGGCTGCCACCGGACGGCACAGCCCTCGAGGGCGGGGGCAGTGGCAGCCGCCAGCAGTGACCCCACTGCTGAGAAGGGGGAGCGGAGGCGGGGGGACTCGGCCCTGGACGGGCCCAGGGTGAGGAGAACTCTCCTAACAGCTCCCGGACCCGGGCCTCGGGGCGATGCCCGCCCCGCGCCCCTGCTGGGGGAGGTGACAAGGGCTCTCCCTGGGCTCAGACCCGCCCCACGCGCGTCCCCAGCCCCACTCGCTGGGGCAGCGCCCGCCTCTGAGCCCCGGGTGTCCTCGAGGGGTGGGGGAGAGCAGGTGAAGGGGGCCCGGGGCGCACGCAGGCGGGGGCGGCCGCGGCCCAGTGCCCGGCCCAGCCTAGGAGATCCAGGTGAAGTCCTTGTCGGTGCCCCCGGCAGGGCTGCGAGGCCCCCGCGGCGAGTCCTCGACCTCCCTGTCGTCCCCCAGTAGCGCGTCCTCGGGGGCCAGGCCCACGTCGTCCTCGTCCTCGCCCAGCTCCTCTTCGCCCTCGCCGCGTGGGTCCTCGGGGTCCTCCAGGTACGGCCCGTCGCCCGCGAACAGCTCAGGAGAGCCCTCGGCGCCGCCGCCATCCAGGGGCCCGGCCCCGCCGCCACCCACGCAGTCGGCACACACGCCGTGGCGCCGCGAGCCGTGCTTGATGCCCACGCTGGCGGCCGACATGAACACGCGGCTACACAGCTTGCACACGTACTTCTTGTCCTTGCTGTGCACCTGCGGGGGGACAGCGGTCAGTGCGGGGGGACGATGGTCAGTGTTGGGGGACGATAGTCAGTGCGGGGGGACGGGGGGATGGCGGTCAGTGCGGGGGGACAGCGGTCAGTGAGGGGGGACGATGGTCAATGTGGGGGGACGATGGTCAGTGCGGGGGGACGATGGTCAGTGCGGAGGACGGCGGTCAGTGTGGGGGACGGTGGTCAGTGTGGGGGACAGCGGTCAGTGCGGGGGGACGATGGTCAGTGTGGGGGACGATGGTCAGTGCGGAGGACGGCGGTCAGTGTGGGGGACGGCGGTCAGTGCGGGGGGACGGTGGTCAGTGTGGGGGACGATGGTCAGTGTGGGGGACGAAGGTCAGTGCAGGGAGGATGGCGGTCAGTGCGGGGGGATGATGGTCAGTGCAGGGGGACGTACTGTTAGTGAGTGGAGGGGGAGGTCTGGGTGGCCCAGAAGCTGAGATGTGGGTGGGTGGGGGCAGTCTGCTAGGCTGCTCAGACCCCTAGCCCTGGCCGGGGGCCGCTGCACAAAGCCGGAACACGCAGAATTGCAGGTGCCGCCAGAACTCCCCCCACCCAGAGGGCTGCTGGGCACTAGGCCGGCCGTGCCCCCCCCACCCCGGGGGCTTGCTGCCCCCACACCTCCCAGCGAAGCAGGCAGAGCGCTCACCTCTGCCCGCCCCCCGCTTTTGCCCCATGAGGGGATGGCCAGGGCTCTGGCGGCTCCCGGCTTGGGCCTGGGGGGCCTGGGGGCACAGGTGATGGGAGCCCAGGACAGCAGTGACCGAGAGGGACTCGAGGCACCTGCCTTCTGGGAAGCCATCAGGACAGCCGGGAGCTGGGCTGAGTGCCCAGCCCGCGGGGCGGCAGGGTCGGGGGTCTCAGGGGGACCGTGATTGCTGCTTGAATGCTGCCTCCTGCCTTTCTGAATTCTCCAACCGACGGGCCTGGCCGAGCGCCCTTGGCTTCCCAGCTCAGCGGTCCCGCAGACCACCGTGAACGTCTGCCCCGTCACAGCCTTCCCTGAAACCCGACCACGAGGACCTACGACTGCTGCCAACCAGCCTAGGCAGGCGAGAGGCCGGATGCGCCCTGGCCGGACGTCAGGAGGAGCTGGGCCGCCTCACAGGTTCTGATTCCAGAAACGAAGCCTCAAGTCACTCGGCTCCCGGGACCCTTCCTGGGTCTTTTTCATTTGTTACATTTTAAACCCAGGGCTTCCGGGGCCCCAGTCCGGTCACAGCAGGGCTGGGCAGTGGGGACAGCTCCCAGGGGGCCACGGAGCCTGTCCTCCGGGACCAGATGGCTGGACACTCGTCCCAGTGAACACATGGATGGGCGGGGAAGGATGTGGGCGCCGTGGAGACCCAGAACTCGGCTCCACAGGGAGGCGGCTGCTGAGACTGCCCACCCACCCCCTGCCCCCTGGCTAAGCCTCCCGGGGCGGGTGGGGCAGGAACAAGCTGCCCTTCTGCCGTCAGGGGAGGTTCAGCTGCCTCCCAGCCCTGCAAACCTGCCCGTCGGGGGAGTCCGCCAGCCTGGGCCCTGGCTCCGAGGGCTGCCTCCCCCTCCAGCTTTTCCACCTGGCCTCAGGGAGCCTCCCCGGGGAGCCCAGCCCCAAATGAGGCCCAGGCCGTGGGCTGTCCCTCGCTCCCTCGCGTGGCTCACCCCGTTGGGGCCACCCCTGAGGTCTCGCCTCGGCCCCCCTCGCCGCAGGGATGTGGCCCCTCCACCCCTCCTGCTGGTCAGAGGATCAGGGTGCTGAGGGGGTCCGGCCCAGCCCGTGTGGCCCTGAGGCCCCCTCACTCCTGACATCACCCCAGCGTCCTATCCCCACCCATGCCCCAGCCGCCTGGCCTCCCTCGTTTCTCACCCACCCAAGGGTTCCTCACGCTGTGTTTTGACGAATCTGCCTCCCTGTTTCAAGGGTGACCTTTTCTATTACTTCCTGGCCAAGCAAATTCATCTGCGCAGCACCTGTTCCTGAGCTGCGAGCCAGGCCGTCAGAACCTTCCAGGGGCTGCTGGGGAGAGAGGCCAGGGTCCCACGGCAACTGCAGGGTGGGGCACGGAGGAAGTGGCCACGTGGCAGGAGTCGGGGGGCAGGGGCAGGGTCCTGGCAGGTTAGGGAGCACCTGCAGAGGCCGGGCTGGAGCAGAGGGGGTCCCAAAGGGGAAGCTGAGGAGTGGGGCTGCGGGGCGATGTGCTCACCTGCCCTTCTGCACCTGGGGCCGGGGGCAGAGCTGCTCAGGAGGGATGTGGGCTTGGGGTGCCTCCCCGCTGTCCTGGTCTTTCCCACTGCCGGGCGGACCCCACTTCAGGGCTTCCCGTGGCATCCTGGACAGCCCAGGGCCCCATCCTGCCCGGACACCGCAGCCCCATGCAGAGCGTGCCCTGGACCGACCCTGCGCTGACCGCACGCTGACCCCATGATGACCCCATGCTGACCCACGCCGAGCCCCCACTGGCCACATGCCAGCCCCACGCGGCCCTGCGCCCGCTCACCAGCGTGTGCCGCTTCATGTGCTCGCGCCGCGTGAACTTCTTCCCGCAGATCTCGCAGGGGTAGGGCCGCTCGCCCGTGTGGGAGCGCATGTGTCTCTTGAGGATGCACTGGTGCATGGCCGAGAAGCTGCAGTAGGGGCAGCGGAACTTCTTCCTGATGACCGTGAACTCGTTCACTGCAAGACAGGCGGCGGCCGGTCAGCCTGCGGACCCTGCACAGCCCACCCACCGCCCATGCTCGGCTGTACCGTGGGGCTGGGGGTCGAGAGCCTCCAGTCAGCCTGGCCCAGAGCAGAGAGGGCTGCTCCCACGTTCTAAGAAAGCACGCTCCTCACATCAGCCAGTACCTCCCGTGTCAGCCCCTAAAACACACGAGTGCACGCGCGGAATCAAGAGACACGGGAGCGCGGACCCGTCTCCGTCCCGTCCACGTGTCCGCACGGCGCAGCCAGGGCAGGGGTGCCACCTGCTGGACACGGCCCAGCGAGAGGCCACCAGCCCCCGGTGCGCAGCAAGCTGTCCCTCCCCATGTTTCGGGGATACCCTGGGTCCCCGGGCCGGGGCCACATTCCAGGGGGCTGGGGGAGCTCAGGGGTTGGGGTCCGTGGGGTCAGGCCCGCTCTGCGAGGCCCCCGGGCACTGGGCAGCTCACCCCGAGTGACGCCCTTTGTGCCGAGCACCCGCGGACACCACAGTGACCCCCTCTTGAGCCTAGGGGCATCCATCGAGGACTCGGCCCTAAGGCCTCCCGGGCTGGTCATCCCCAGCTCACCAGGGCTGCTGGGAGCCCCCAGGTGCTCGACAGCACTTCGTCCGGGTGGGGAGCCCGGGGCCATGTCTGCTCTCGGGCCTCTGGAAGCGGACCCAGCCCTCACCCCACCCACAGCGCTCACCGGCCACACCCCAGCACCTGCACCCAGGGGACAGACCAAGGGTCCCGACGGTCAGGCCAAAGGCAGGCAGGGGGAGGAAGGCACAGCAGCAGCGGGAGCCCCGGTCAGACCCCACGAAGGGTCCGTGCCTGCCGGGCCCCGGCCACGCCCACAGCTGCCCCCGGAAGTGCCAGAGGGAAGCAAGAAAACAGAGGCTGCAAGTGACCCAGCCCACGGCGTGCGGAGAAGCCGGGGAAGCCAAGGTGACCCAAGCCGACCCCTCTCACTCGAGGGAGCCGGCCGGGCCGCTGCACAAACGACGGGACGGCTCCATCCTGCCCAGCTCCCCCAACCCCGGACCACCCCGCACATCACACGGGGGCAGGGCCCTCGCCGCCATCTCCGCAAAGCGTGAAGCGTGCCCCAGGCCTCCAATCCATTCCGGTGCTCAGACCCAGCCCCGGGCAGGTCGCCATGGAAATGGTGCCAACTGGAAGGTGCACTGCAGTGACACGGAGCCCAAGGCCCTGGACGCACCCAGGTGCCCTGAGCATCGAGAGGTTGGCGCTCACTCTGCGCCTCCATCCCTGAAACACACCAGGCCACACTGGGTGTAACGTTTTATTTTGCTTCTTAAGCCGTCCATTTTCTCCTGAGACATCTTAAAGGCCTAAATAATCAAGCAACCAGATTTCTTGATCTTCCAGAACACGGGTCAGTGAGGCCGTCTGCAGGGCCTGCCAGGAGCCTGGCCGTTCTCATGGACCCAAGAGCTCTCACTCTGGCATCTCCCGCACCCACGGATGGCAGGCACCAGGGACACACCGCCCAGGATGACCCCTGTCCACGCGCAGGCCAGACAGCTTCACCAGGGGAGGCCATCACGGCCGCAAAACGGCTGTGCAGACCCCATCACAGCTCATGACCGATGCCACCCCTGGGGCCCAGCCACCCGCTTGCCTGACGGTGTCTGTGCACCCAGAAGGGGCCCCACGTCCCCACAAAGGCTGGGCAGTCACCAGGTGTCTCTGAGAATCCAAGCCCTGTCCTAAGAAGTAAGGCATTTTCTCACGTGGAGGAGCTTTCGACATGCATGTGGCTGGGAGCTGGGGCAGACAAGAGGCGAGAGGCGTGGACAGTCGCCCGTACCCCTTCACGCAAGGCGGCCACAGTTCACAGCATGACGGCTGTGACCACATTTTCGTGCTACGATTTTTAACTGTTAAGTTCTTAAATGTGCGAGTACACCATGATTTGTTCAACAAACATGTAAAGTGTTTCCATTTTTTTACCCTTGTGAACAATGCTTCAGCAAAGTGCTTACAAAGGAACCTTTGCCCCTGGAGAGAAATCCTGAGAAGTGGGCCATGCCGGCCGTCGGGCCCCATGGGCCACGCACCCTCAGTCCTCCCGAGGGCCAAGGCCATGCTCCGGTACGCGGGACACAGATGGTGGTCACCGCTGTTAGCAGAGCTGCTCCCTGCAAGGCTGTAGGCCGGGGTCCCAGCTGCAGGGGCGACCAGAGCATCCGGCAGCTCTTGGACCCACGAGGAAGCAGCCCTTCCCGGGTGGCAGCTCCAGCCTCCCCACGGAGGGCCCGCAGACAGGTGGGTCCGGGTGAGGGTCCAAGACAGGACAGAGGGAAGGGCACCTAGCCTGGCACGTCTGGATGGACCGCACCTGGCAGCCCCCACTCTACGTCTCCCTTCCTGTCTGACCACCAGGCCCGGCCCAACCCGCCTGGTCGACGAGGCAGCAGCACGGCCCTCCACACCTGCCTCCCGCCGGTTCCCCCAGCACAGACCCCGGTTTTCACGTCAGCACGGAACACAGCAAGTGCACCACCCACTCTGGGATGGAAAAGGCAGGTGAGGAGACAAGCTTTTAGGTTATTTTATTTCAAATAACTTTTTTGAGTTATTTTCTGCTTTCTATTTTGCTTCTATAAACATAAAATTAAAATCTGACTTATTTACTCTAGGCTGCATTTAACAATTCAGACCTACATGTTAAAAAAACACTCATCTCTGAACATAAGTGCTGTACTTTTTCCCCAGAAACACAGTTCAGCTGCGTGAACATGAGCGTGACCCCCGCCCCACGCCTCCACTGGGCACACAGCTGCAGGCTTCTGAACCTACTGCGCCATCAGGGAAGTCCCAGATATCCACAAACTGGGCAGCTTAAAGCACCAGACACCTGTCCTCTCTGTCCCGGAGGCCATACATCTGAGGTCAAGGTGTGGGCAGGGTCGCACTCTCTTCAGAGGCTCCAGGGGAGGGTCCTTCCTGCCTCTTCCAGCTTCTGGAGGCCCAGGCGGCCCTGGGCTTGTGGCTGCATCTCTCCCGTCTCTGCCTCCGTCTTCTCATAGCTTCTCCTCTGTGTCTGTGTCTCCTGTCTCTTATAAGGACACCCATCACTGGATTTAGGACCAACTGGATATTCCAAGGTGATGTCATCTTAAGATCCTTAATTTAATTATGTCTGGAAAGACCCTTTTTCCAAAAAGGGTCACATTCACAGGTACCAGGAATTAGGATGTGCACGTGTCTTTTGGGTGGAGGGCACCATGCAACCCACTACTTTCATGAACAGTACTGAGGAAAGTTTTCATTGACTGTTATGATTAAAATAACTTCACATTGGGCTTCCCTGGTGGCGCAGTGGTTGAGAGTCCGCCTGCCGATGCAGGGGACACGGGTTCGTGCCCCGGTCCGGGAAGATCCCACATGCCGCGGAGCGGCTGGGCCCGTGAGCCATGGCCGCTGAGCCTGCGCGTCCGGAGCCTGTGCTCCGCAACGGGAGAGGCCACAACAGTGAGAGGCCTGCGTACCGCAAAAAAAAAAAATAAAAAAAAAATAATAATAATAATAACTTCACATGGGAAAGAAGCTAACACTTCCATAACGCGTGGTTTACAGTCTATATGTCTTAGAAAACCTTTCAACGTCATGTAGTTTGACTCCCATAAACACACTAATAAAGCCTTAAAAATCCACATAGAGAAAAAGTAATTGAAATAAATGAAAAAGCACAAATAGCATCAAATTGAAACAGACACTCTCTACCCATCTGCCCTCAAAATGGAGCCCCTTTGTCTGGAACCAAGTGTCCAGGATGAACGGCAAGCTTGAAAATGAGGAAGTGACGTCAGACGCTGGCACCAGATTATCTAAAGTATGAAGTGCAGCAACACTGAGCTACAACTTTGCAGAAACGTACATACGAGAATACCACTCAGCAAAGCAGCCTTAGAGGAAGCCACGTCTCCGTGCAGCCCTGCAGAGAATCAGACCTGTCGTAAACGTCACTGACGAGTGAACGTTCCAGAATGATTTCAAGACAACACACAGGACACCAAGGGACTGCCAGCGAACGGAAGGCCCTGGCAGGTGGCAGGTGAGCAGAGGGGAGGCTCCTCCGGAAGGCACTCAAGTCCTTAGTCCGTCACTGTCCTGGATTTGTACTCTTCCTCTGATCGTAATTCTCAAGACACTGCACTTCAAGTGCATTTCAGAAAGGGATTCTAACGTGGACCAAACTTTGTTCTTCCATTTATAAATTCATGCGGCCGCCACTCATCGTGTGTCAGAACATAGCGAAGCTATGACGTGTCCAAATTACTTTCGGAAGGTTTTGAACCATACGTGACGTGCACACACCTTAAGTGTACCTCTCGGTGAGCTTTCACCTGCAGAAAGACCTGGGAACCACCACCCGAACAGGACGCCGCACACCCAGGGGCCTGCGGCCGGTCAGTACCACCCACCCCAGGCGACGGCCGCTCGGCTACCCATCACCAAACGCTGGGCTACAACTCGGTCTGTGGGGACCTGACACCCAGGTGTGGCCTTGCTCGTTGCCATGTTGTCATCCACGTGACCACAGGACCCCGTGCCTGTTCGGCAGCGACGGGCAGTGGGCCAGGCTCTCACTTCTGCCGGACGCGCACCTGAGAAGAACATGTGGGCCCCAGTGGAATCAGCGTCTCCCAGCCACCGCCGACGCCTCGCCCCAGTCATTCGCACGCCCTCTTCTGTGACGTGCTTGTCACGTCTTCTGACCCTTCACTGAGCTGCTTTTCCTTTGATGTTTTATTCTTGGGGGTATTTTGTGTTTGTTTTTTTAATTTTCTGGCTGCACCGCATGGCACAGGGGATCTTAGTTCCCCGACCAGGGATTGGACCCGGGCCCCCTGCATCGGAAGCTCCAAGTCCTAACCACTGGACCGCCAGGGAAGTCCCATATGTTAATGGGACTGCCAGGGAAGTCCCATATGTTAATTTTTTTAATAAAAAATTTTA